GAGAGAGAGAGAGAGAGAGAGAGAGAGAGAGAGGTGGGGGCGAAGAAGAGAGTGGGGCAGATACTAGAAAGACAGCAAACTGACACATCAGCAGCAAAATCATATAAAATCATACCTGCGCACACAATAAACAGTAGCCTACCAAAAAAAAAAAAATCAATTTATTCCATCCATTAATATGGGTAGTACCGGTAACTGTTAATCGTCAACATGAAATGCCTCAGGTCGTCAGTAATGGACGATATGCAAAATAGGAGCTAAAAATAATTCATTAAATGGGCGGCTCGTGGACACATTAGATCTCTAGAATAATAGGCACACACGGTGTACCTTACAAAGATAAAGCAGTAAAAGTTTCGACATTTACATGTTTGAGAATATCCATTATATTCTCTCTTCCTATCATTTTCCATTCCATCTACCACCACACACCTGCCATTCCAGCACATAGATCTGCTACAAACTGACTTGCATGCGGCCGCGCGCACGAACACGAGCGCGTGTACGTACGCGCATATGTACACACGCAAGCACTCATACGCAAACACATATTTTATACATTCAAACATATATACACACTTGTATACATACAGACATACACCTTTCTTTCAAATACAAAATGTTAGAGTACAGACATACAAAAATATAATGTAGGTCTACGTACATGCAACATATCGCGAGGAACACAGCTTCTCCCTCACCCCCCTCCTTTTTCCCTCCTCATCGCAAACACATACCAAACAAAACCAATTGAAACATTCAGAACTCAATGTATATTATCCTCCATGTAACCACAATGGAACCCAATCGATGGGATGTGGAGGGGAAAAAAGAAAAGGAGCATATATGTGCGACAGGGTTTCTGATGTAAACTCAACGATAACATGCGACTTAAATAAAGGCTTTAGTAGATATTGTATTCTATCATGTAAAATTCAAGCACATACAGGCGCACACAAAAATATACAAAACACATACCCATAAAAAAGCATGCATAGACATATTTACAAGTGCTCAGACAGACACGCACACACAACCTGACACACATACAGACAGATGCGCACACTCCTTTAGGCACTCACACCCACACGCAAAGAAAAACAACAACAACAAACAATGCAACTCGACAAAAGCACGAGGCTATAATGAACGATTTATCTGCTACTAAACGATCGTCTATCTTACACCCCCTCCCCCCTTCCCAACTTCGCTCATTTGGATCACCTCACAAGTGTACACGTATACGCCTATTCTCTTAGTGCGTGAACATGTTTCAGGCGAAGTGGCATCATATTATTAGAGATCTATTTATACATGTGCATCTACATTGATGCGCCAGAGATGCAATCGATCGACAGATATACAGGCTGACAGACTGATACACAGACAGATCGACAGACAGACACACAGTTAAATTTACTCGTGGATGTCATAAGCATAATATACAGTTTAAACACAAAATCTTCGTAAAAGGGTTTTCCACAGAGTATGGAAAAGCTGTTCAAAATGCCTAACATTAGAATCTAAGTACACGTATTAACGTGTGTAAAATGAAACATCCACAGTACAATCAAAATGTAACGGATGCAAAGGAGGAAGTGGAGTCTGGCTTTTATTAATAAGGACCCTAAGAGTATTATTAACAATCGCAAGAATCGCCAGCCAAACAAAATAAGGTAAGCCATACCAAAAAAAAAAAGAATAGGAAAGTACCGGAAAGTGAAGGCAACAAAAGGTTATCTCGCAAAACTCACCGGCATGATGTTTTGTTACTTGTTGTTTCGTCCAAAAATACAACAGACACGGAGAGGGAGACAGGCAAACTCAGACAGTGCTGTGAGAGGTAACTCCGTACACTTCAGACGACAGTCCGTTGAGGAAGTAGTCAAGACGTTTGCTGGACAGAATCTGCCGGCGTTCGGAGCAGAGGGTGGGTGGGAGGGAGTCGACGAACAGGTCAGGCGGGGAAGCAAGGAGAGCAGCGGTGACGATGACGGAACGCGGGCAGGCCAGGTACAGAGAGTAGAGAGAAGGGGAGGTTTTCGCTCTTCCGCATCTGCTGCTCCCTCTCGCTTTTTCGCTACCCACAACCCACCTCTCTCTCTCTTCGTACCTCGGAGCTTACTCGCGGGTAGATCATATCAAAACCGCGCACCCGTCTGAGAAGAATCGGGTATCAGTAACAAGGAGTTTTGAAATCGATTCTATGAAGTATGACCTTCTAATTTAAAATGTGTTTGAGTTTAAAGAAAAACAAAAACAGATTTCTGTTCTCAGTGTTCGATCGGTTGCACCTTCTTAGACGAGAATTTAGCTAACTGGTAGCTGATAGTTAAAACTGAGAAAACGCTAGATTGGGTTTGTAAGGCGATCCTTCCAGATTGAGAATTACCTCAAAAGGCGTTTTCTTTGGGCAGGACGCCATAGTGAATGAACTGTAGTCCCACCGAGAATGGAGACATCGGATGCCCTTAAAAGGTCAAGTAAGTAAGCAAGGGAGAACACCACCACAACCACTACCAAAAACAGCAGCAACAACAGCAACAACAACAGCAGCAACAACAACAACAGCAACAATTGCTGCTCCAAAGACACCGACAGTTGTTGTCTTGCAGAAATCATTGCTTGAATGACATTTCCCGGAATGGAGGAATGGTTAACTTTTCTTGAGAAATGAACGAGCACAATACGAAAGGAACTATCTAATTCGACTTTCACCCAAAGTTTTCCCTTTCCCCAGCATCAGGGAAGGAGAGACAACAGTAACCCGTGTTCAGCTACAATATCCCCATTCCTTCTATCTGTCTATGCATGCATTCATGGTGAGTATTTCCGTTATTTTATCAGTCTCATGTGTGTACCAGAAAATGTAACATGACATCGTTATGACAAGTACTGTCCCACCTCGTTATACCGCCTGCATTGGGATGAGCATAAAGTTGGCGGTACAGCGGGGCTGGTGGTTCAACGGGATAGCATCGATTGCCATCTTGACTGTTGGACAGACCAGTAAAGGCAGGAGACAAACTGTGGCCAACCTTGCCTCATGTAGATCTGTCTTGCGCGATTGCCATACTCAGGGCAAACAAAAACAAAAACAAAAAAATTATAATAAACTACCAAATTATAATAAACTACCAAAGAAACACCCCCCCCCAAACCCCCCCCCCAAAACACACACACAAAAAACACAAAAACAACAACAACAACAACAACAAAAAACAACAAAAAACCAAAACAAAAGCAGGTAGCAACAAATTAAAATCACAGTTCCAGTTCATCATCATCATTGCCTTTCTCACCCTGCACCAGGGTATAGGTCACGGACAAACACCTTCCACCTTTCTCTATCCTGGGCTAGCCTCTTGATGTTATTCCATGTGGTTGAGCGATTTTCCCGGAAACCAGCCTGTTCCTCCCGTAGTTTTGGATCCGTTGCTGTCTTGATTCTCTCCAGAATGATTCTTTTGAAGACCTTACCTGATATTGAGAGAAGAGTGATCCCTCTGTAGTTGCTGCAGTTGCTGAGATCCCCCCTTTTTTGGAAGCTTCACGAGGTGTCCTTCTTTCCAATCCTTTGGGAACTTTCTCTCTTTCCAGATCCTGGTAAGCAGTGGGAGGAGGATGTCTGCCGTCACATTGGCATCTGCTTTTAGGGCTTCAGGTGGAATCTGGTCAGGACCGGCCGCTTTACCTTTGTTCAGCTTCTTAATGACATCCAGAATCTCTTGTTTTGAAGGAGCATCACAGCAGATTGGTAACTCATTTCTTGCTGGCAGGATGTTAGGTGGGTTACTCGGTGGTGGTCTGATCCGGAGAATGTTGAAATGCTCTACCCATCGTTTGGACTGAGCTTCCTTTCCAAAAATGTTTTTTCCCCTCTTGGTCCTCTACTGGTACTTCAGGTTTCCCGTATTTTCAGCAAGTGTCCTTGTGGTCTGGTAAAGGATTCGCATGTGCCCTCCTACCGCTGCTTCCTCTGAATTCTCTGTCAGCCTGTTCATGAATTCCTCCGTGTCTTTTCATAGTGATTTCTTGACATCTTTAGCTGTTGTCCTGTACTGCTCCAATGCATCCGCTCTTGATCCTCTGGTTCTACTTATATTCGCTTCTGCCTTCAGCTGTCTTCTTATCTTAATTAAATCAAATGATTGTTGCCTAATCCATTCCTTGTGCTCCCATTTCTTCACACCGAGTACTACTTGACAGCTTAATGTAAAGACTTCTTTGACCTTGGTCCAGTGTGTATCCACCTCCGTGTCCTCTCCGTCAAGATCAGCCAGAGGTTGAAATCTGTTCCTCAGCTGCAGCTGAAATTCTTCTTTCTTGTGTCTGTCCAACAGACTTACTTGGAGCTTCGTTCTTTTGATTCCTGTGTTGGTTCCGTGCTTTTTGAGTCGAAGCTTGAGTTTTGCCAACAGCAGATGATGATCCGATCCAACATCTGCACCTCTCTGTACTTTGACATCTTCCAGTGAACGCCTGAACCTTCGAGAGATACAAAAATGATCTATCTGGTTCTCAGTCACTCCATCTGGCGAAACCCATATGGCCTTGTGAATCCTCTTGTGGGGAAAAACAGCCTCCAATGACAAAACTGTTGAAAGCACATATATTTGCGAATCGCTCACCGTTCTCACTCATTTGTCCCAAGCCATGTTGCCTCATAATTCTTTCATACCCCACGTTGTCCTGACCAATCTTGGCATTGGCATCTCTCATTATGATGTTGACATCCTTCCTTGGTAGTTTGTCGATGACCCCCTGGAGCTGGCTGTAAAAGGCATCCTTGTCTTCATCTGAAGCATCATTTGTTGGGGCGTAGATTTGGACTATATTCATGTTGATGCTCTTGCACCTTGTAGTGAATGAAGCCATGATGATCCTTTCCTCGTGTGGTTCCCATCCTCTAAGTGACTTCTGTGCATACTTACTCAAAATGATTCCCACTCCTTCCGCATGGTACTTGTCTTCCCTCCCAGAATACAATACTTGTTCCCCCGAGGTGAGCTGCTTCTGTCCAGACTGTATCCAGTGTGTTTCGCGGACTCCTAGTATATGCAGCCTGTATCTCTTCATCTCTTGTACTACTTGAGAACTCTTTCCTGCTTCATGCAAGGTGCGAACATTCCACGACGCAATCTGGAGAGACTTGTTCGAAGGAAAAGGTTTCTGGTCAGAAGAGTCCTTTCGGCTTTGTCTGCTGTCCTTCATTGTTCGTGCTGGTGCAGAAGCTCCTCCGTCTCCCAAGATCGAAAAATAATAAAGCTGTGTTTGCCCGTGTTTCTGTAACTTACTGTTTTTTACTGGGTTGGGTAGTTGGCCCTCCTCAAACTGGCACTTTTTGGGCGACCAGACCTTTGCACTTTTAGTCGCCTCTTACGACACGCAGTGTCACGGCAGGTGTATTCTTTGCTCCCCCATAGTAAAACTATGAGCCCCCCCCCTCCCACCTGCAGGGGCGAGTTCCAGTTACACTTTACATAAATTCAAATTGTAGAAAGCTAAGATCAGAAGCTAGATTATTTGTCAAGGACCCTTTATAAGTACTGTTTTCGATTGTTGCTTTTAAAAAAAATATTCTCGTCAGTCTTCGTCTTGTCATGTAGACGAGCGTGAGTCCTCACAATAAAAAACAACAACTCTAGGGCACCCTCTGGCTTTTTGGTCATCTGGCTTATTACTGGCGACTCATTTGAAGTTTCTCCGGTTACTTTTAAATTTCAGGCCAATTTTTCAAAAAAGATATGGGCCCACACCTAAAAGTAATACAGGTAGCATTTTCATAATCAGCGCAAATCAGGAGTAAATTGATGACGTGTGCCAGAAAAAGGCCATGCTCACAGAGGTGTGTTTGGGAAAGAGATGATTAAACTGCCGCCGTGTGTAGTTTGTACCCCTGGCAGTCAATTCACTGGCTGTATAGCGGGGCAAATTTAATTTAGTTTAACATTTAAATTAAGACCGCACAACTCAGAGAATTGGCGGAGGGCGGCACAAAGGAACACACTCTATGTTTATTTAGGCGCTCCTTTCCGTACCACGGCAAAACCTGGCGGTAAACGGGGCTGACGGTATTAGTATTATAACGTTGGAAAGGGGTGGGGGGGTATAAAGAAGTTTGATTGTACACATCAGTAAATAATTAAAAAAACCAAACCCCAAACTGATTCAGCCGTCGTTCTATTCAAGGGGACCAACGTAGGAAAAGGAACATTCGGTCGCCGTACGTCCTGTAATTTTGTTTTGGGGTACTAAGAATTGATTTGTCTGTGATTTATTTGAGAGCCCAGAAATTAGTAACATTTTAAAAGCTGGTCGACGATATATAAAGGTGGAATGGGAATAAAGATTATTATAATTTTTAGTTATAAAACGTTTCATAATGTGACATGTAAGTAGTTTGAATACTGGCTCATTGCTTATTTATGTGCGGGTGGTTGGAGGGCAGCATTTGGTACATCTTGCTTCTTTTTTCCCCTCTATTGTTTCTGTCTGTCTTACTTTTTCGCAGCACTGAATAACCCGTATTGTGTCAGCATACTTCTCTTTACTCAAACAAACGCTTATTCATATCTAAACCGAGCGATTTCGTTATATTGAATATCGAATACTAGAGCCTGATGTTGACAGAAGGCCTTCGCGGTTTTGAAAATTGCTGAAGTACGCGATTCTGAATAACTCCCGCACCCGCCGGCAAAATGGATGAGATCACTGATCTTGCCGGAAAGTACCACGCCCCCTATTTTCGCCCTCCTACTCTCGACTTATTGACGTAGCAATGTGGGTTCGTAACGCGAGAAAAGTTCGTTTTTTACCGAGCGATGGATAATATACTAGGCCTATACGTTTGAAAGAGCGAAATCTCTCTTTCTCTCTCTCTCTCTCTCTCTCTCTCTCTCTCTCTCTCTCTCTCTCTCCCCCTCTCTCTCTCTCTCTCTCTCTCTCTCTCTCTCTCTCTCTCTCTCTCGCTCTCTCTCTCTCACGCACATTCACACACCCCCTCTCCCCCCCCCCCCACACACAAACACACACACGCACAAGAACATTCACATTAGGTGCATACGAACACCTTCACGGACATATTTCGTATCTGACTTTCAAACGACTCACAACCACGTGAACATACCAAAATGATTGCATACTACATGTATTTGGAAAGCTCTTCTGACTTTTTTTTTTTCCAATTCCAGAAACTTTAATTCAACACAACACCTATTCAGACTCGCTCGGAAATTGGTAAGATGGAAGAATGAAAAAATGCAGCTAATTTGGGGCAGCAAACAGTTGCAATGCATTCAATTGAAATGTCCACAATCTGATAACGGCAAAGTATAATTCACAGGGTTAAACATTGAGATAACATTGTTTCTGTTGTATGCTGGCCCTCACCGGCCTTTTGACATGGCCCACCCACATTGATTGAAGGATTTGTAGTGTTGGTTTGCTTAAGTTAACTGCTCGCTCTCTCTCTCTCTCTCTCTCTCTCTCTCTCTCTCTCTCTCTCGCTCTCTCTCTCTGATCTCTCCCCCCCTCCCTCTCTCTCTCTCTCTCTCTCTCTCTCTCTCTCTCTCTCTCTCCCTCTCTCTATCTCTCTCTCACTTTCTCTCATTCACACCTCGCTCTCCCACCCCCACCTCCCTGACACATATTCGCCCTCAAAACGATTCACTTTTCTGCAGAAGGCGCTGACTGAAATCAGAATACAATTTGCGGATGTACATGATAACTTCATGGCAAAATGTGCACAGTATGACTCGAAGGTCTGTTTTGTTTGGGGTGACTTTCTTTTTCTGCTTTGCACAGATTGCTCATTTGGCGATGTCCTGTTAGGCTTACATAACGGAGACACAAGCGGCCACCGTGTTAAGTCAGTTCTTATTTCGAATAGCAGTTTTTGCCACTCTATAACCCCCACTTCATAAAAAAAGAACAAAAAAAGTAACAACAAACAAACAAACAATAAAAGTACCCACCCCCCAAAAAAACAAAACAACAACAACAACAAACAAACAAAAAAACAACAAAACAAACAAACAAACCAAACAAAAAAACAAAAACACCAACCAATGCAACAACAACAACAACAACAACAAAAACAACAACAACAACAATTTACCAACAGCATCATCATCAACATCAACAACAACAACAACAACAACAACAAAAACAACAACAACAACAACAACAACAACAGCAGCAGCAACGGTAGTAAAAAACAAACAAACACACACTCAAAACCCCCAATACGGTAGCACTAAAAAGTACTCCACTCCCATTTTCAACCCCTCCCCCCGCCAAAAAATAAATTACATAACAACACCCTCCCCACAAACAGCAACAAACATGCAATATAAAAATGGAGATTAAAACTAAAACTGAAATTTAAAAAAAAGAAGCTAAGCGTGAAAAAAGGGAAAAAAAACAAAAAACCCCACCCGACTTCGTAAAAAAAATAAAATCATCGATTCATGCACAGAGGCCACATATCAATTATCCATTCAACCCAACTTCCCTTTCATCTCATCCGTAGCATCGCCATTCCTACCACTATCTTTATAAAACATATCGAAATACGATTTTGGATAGTTAAAATTATAGGGGCTCATCATTATCATCATCATCATCATTGTATAAAGAAGGTATTAAAACAGTTAAGACCTTGTTGTATTTCCAAAAAAAAATATTTTTCACAGTTCAACGTTTCGCCAATAAGGCTTCATCAGGAACATAGTATTTGAGAAAAAAATAAATGAGTGATGACGCCACAGCAACAAAGTGTTCACTATAAGTTACGCATTGGTGTGATTTGGACAATATCGGAAATATCTTCATTATCATCATCATCATCATCATCATCATCATCATCATCGGCCTCCTCATAGTTGTCGTCATCGTTGTCGTGAGGCGGTGATTACTCGCTTATATAATATCTGTAGCGCCGATGTAAATAATGGTAGATAAGTGTCCTGAGCAAAAGAACACATGCTGTTGAAATCATCTTACCAGGAGAAGTAACCTAAATTTTGGTGTTTTATTTATTCACCAAAGAATCCCACACACAAGCCTTTATGATGAAAAAAAAAAAAAGATTATTATCATTATTTTTTTTTTTTAAATAAAAAAAAAAAGATTAGAAGCAAAGATACAGCTCTGTTAGGGATTGTCACGGGAGTCTTTTTTGGATCGGAACTGAAAAGCCTAGTTTGGGATGCAAGTCAAAATAGTCATCATGAAGCTGTTAGGGTCCAACTCGGGGTAATTTCGAGTGCAGACGTAACAGAGGGAAATTGAAGGTGTATAAGACAAAACAGATGTGTGGAAAATTGATTCTGAAAATAATTGGCCTAGTGTTAGATTGTATATTATAGTTATTAGATATTTATACCCTAAGGCATCGAATAATCGGGAAAAGGGGGGGGGGCATATTCAACCTCACCCCTGTAGGCCTACTAGTTGGAACAAATCTTTTTTATTTCTGTCAGTTAAAATAACAAGAGATCATGAAACTTTAGTATGGATTAAGGAGGGGGGGGGGGGGGGGGCAATAAATGATTCTGAAATTTAATAAGCAAGAGGGGGGGGGGGGGGGCACTCGTCCGATACTTTAGAGTACCGATAGAGATGGGTAAAAAGACTAATAGAAGCTACTGAGTGATAGATGGAGAAATAGATAGATGGATAGATAGATAGATAGTCATATTAATTACTAGCATAAAAATAGAATTTCGAAACAGCATAATCATGTTATAAAGTTAACCTTTAACATTTGCATATAGAACTACTTATAAAAGTGTTTACATTCCAACGAGTGAAAAGAAAGTATATTGTCGAAAGGTCCTGATTAAATTGAGGTACAATATTCCCACATGATAGAAGTTTCTGTACAGACTTCTATTTTATTTCAAAGACAGAAAGTATTACAGTGCTGCCGAGTAAAGCCAAAACGAAACAGTGAGAGTATCACTCCGCCAGTCAGAGGTCAAACAGTAATGCCGCCGCCGATAAGGCTGTTTACCAAAGCGGCAGAATGAGGCTCAAGAAGGAGGTACTTTTTGCATATTGCCAAATTTATTTCCGTGTTTGTGTTTGTATGTATCGCTTATGAGGTATTATATTACGCTCAAAACACTGTTTATTGTTTTTCAGGTTCTCAAAACCCGCTGCAAAGTTCCTCTTCACTTGGCTAAGTTTCTGAATCTTTCGGGCTTAGAACTTGGTAAGTGATAAAGAAGCGTCTTGTTGCTATGTTGTCATTTCCGTTTTCGCATCTTATCTTTTAAAATTACTTTATAATTGTCTTCCAGAGATGCCATCTCCTTTCTCGCTTTCTTTCATTTACCTGGCCTTTTATTGTCTCTGATGAACAAGAAATTTTTTGACCACGAATACATCACAAAGATTTATATAAAACATGTACTTATGTCTTGGCCAGAGACGTTTGTGACCGCTTCGTGTGGTCAGCTGCTGCTTGCTCTTGCCCGCTACTGTGTTGTCCTGTTTCAGTGTCATGCCACACTGGTGCCAGTCACTCTTTCAGTTTCATTAACTCATTTTGATACTTTTGTCAGTCAATACCCATATTTTCTTTTAGTTTCTACATCACCTCCTGCCTAACCAGTAGCCTAAACGTTTCTTTCTTTAAAAAATGTTTTATATTTTCTTTATAGGCCTATCTTACTCTTGTTGAGCTATCATGCAGTTCACTTCGTCCATTTTAACTTACTTTAATTATCTCTCATGCCTTCCATCTTCATAGGTAGCATAGCCATTTATAAACAGTTCCTCCTCAAAGATGTCCTTCCTGTGTATCGTTCTGATGTTGTGCTCAAGATTTGATAATTTTATTACATCTGCCTCCATCTTTCTCCACAATATTTTTTCCTCTAGCCTGAGGATGTTCGTTTTTCTTTGCATTGTGTTGTTCAACTTGAGCAGCAATATGACATTTGCAATGTCATCCTCCCCACTCATTGATTTGTTTGTTTCTCTCTTAGAATGGTTTGGCTGTGTGTTATTCTCACATTTTTGTGCTTCTGTCACGTTTCTCTCTGTTAGGTATATTCACCCACTTTTGACATGTCGATTTTCCTATTCTCACTCACTCACTCACTCACTCTCTGTCTCTGTCTCTGTCTCTCTGTCTCTGTCTCTGTCTCTCTCTCTCTCTCTCTCTCTCTCTCTCTCTCTCTCTTTCTCTCTCTCTGATGAGGTTCTAGAGATATTATCGTCTTTCCATCTTACTGCTTTGTGTAGCTAAGACTGTTTGAACGCCCATGTGATTGGAGGGCTCTACTGGTAGGTCCTGCTTCATTACTCCCACTCTGTTGTATTGAGAAATCAGGACAAAGTTGCACAAATCAGAGACAAGACCATTTATTCAGTGCAAGTCCAGACTCTGTCTCGGTTTGTTTGGTTGGACTATGAACCAGGACTGAGAGTAGATTTGTACTCCACAGTTACAGAAATTTACATGTTTACTAAAACATTTTTATTTTAAACAGGCATAACGTTGATTGTATTTGAGTGGGAATTTTCCGAAGGAAATTTAGTTTTAGTTTTTGTGGAGGTTTTACGGCGCTCGCAACTGCATAAGGTCATACGAGCGCCAGAAGATTAGAGGTGTTACAAGAGAGTAACAAACATAAAAAAGAAGGGGGAGATACGGACGATAAATGTTTGATAGGAAAGAAGAAGCAAACCACACCAGAGCACCCGCCAACCACCCACCAAAGGAAATTTGTCGAAGACTATAAAAATGAGAGAGAAAATGGAAAATGCACAAAATAACACCACAAGACTAGTGTGGAAGAAAAAGAATTAAAATCCTTCATCAAAATGGTTGAGAGCTCTGCAATGGCTTCCAAATTGAC